GGCTATAAGGTTTAGTATTGCTGAAGCCATAAAAATGGCATCCCTTTAAAAATATAAAAAAAATAAAAATAAATAATAATAATAATAATAATAATAATAAATAATAACAAAGAATAAAATGAGACGAGCCTCGCCGAATAAAAGGGACAAATTGCGGGGCCCTCACAAAATATATGTATTAAATACTTAGGTTCCGGGATGGACCGTTTAACAAATTTCACGGCCCTCCCCAAAATAATAATGCGCTAGTTGCTTTAGGCGCGTCTTTAATAATTTAATTTTCTTAAACTCGGGTGTGCATTTCATGCGACCCAAATCCAAATCCTAAAACATCAAATAAAATATGTTTCGGATTGTGGGTGCATTTCATGTGACACAGTCCAAAGATATATTTTAAGCGATGTTCACATTCTTGTAAAAACAATAATAATAAAGCGGTTAAAAGATAAATTTGCACATAAGTTCATATTGTATTAAAAATCAGATAAATAAGCCAAATATAACAGTTGAGCGACCGTGCTAGAACCACGGAACTCGGGAATGCCTAACACCTTCTCCCGGGTTAACAGAATTCCTTATCTNGATTTCTGGTACGCAGACTGTAATATAGAGTCGTTCTTTTCCTCGATTCGGGATTAAAATTGGTGACTTGGGACACCCTAAATCTCCCAAGTGGTGACTCTGAAATAATTAAACCAATCCTGTTTCGATTGTCCTTTAATTGGAAAAAACTCCCCTGCGCCCCCCGGGCGCGGAAAAAGGAGGTGTGACAATGACATCTACTTGTAATTATCTACAAACTAGAGTTCTCTACATCTCTTCAAATTCCACTCCTCTTTGATTTATATTTATTGGTGAAACAACTTTTAAGCTTTCCTATTACAATTTGGATATGCTTTACAAGCTCAATCACTATATGATGTAGGCAACTTGATACTCCTTAAGTCCATTCACCAAACTGAAGGATGAGTTGTTTGAATTCTTGAAGAGACGCTTAATTCTGATTTAAAGTTCTACCATTTGAAGACGAATTTGTAACTGAAATGTTCCTTGTTCCAATTATGGTGGGTCTTTAACTTTCAGAAGCTACTGCTTTTAATTCTCTTCATTCTTTTACTATTTTCATTTGCCATATACGAATCCAAGTTGCTTACTCTTTGTTATATTTGATTTCATTCCTATGTAAGGTTTTCATAACATACTTTTTAACTTAGTGTGTAAGCTGAAGTTTTTTTGTTCGCACTGTCTTTTCTACTCTTCCTCTTCACGCTTATCCAGATGTGGTGAAAGGTATATGGGCAAAGGATTATGCTGAGATAAACTTAACATCATCCTGGATAAGGTGAGAAACAAGAGAACACCAATCTGGTGGTTTAATTTTTTTAATATTTCATATATCCTATTGAGTGAATTAGATCGTCTGATGTGGAGATACACAAGTGATACAAATACTTGAAATAGGTTGCTAAAACATAGGTTCTCTATTAGGGTAATAGTGACCCAACATTCTCTCTCTCTCTCTCTCTCCGTGTATATATATATATATATATATATCTTCAATCCCTCATTAACGGTCATCTCCCTTCTCATCTTCCTTGTGCCATCACCGGCGGTCACCGAAATCACAAGTAAGTTTTTTTCGCTCTATATTTTTTTTTCTCTCTCCTTTCCTCTCTATTTCCTCCTTCCCTTCCACCTTTCTTTTCCCCCTTCTTCTTTACACCCCTCACTGCCCCTTTTTTCACCTCCCCCCACCCTCAAATTTGCCCCTATTTTCTTCCCCTCCCTCGCTCTTTCTCCATTTTCTCATTCCATATTCTTTCATTTTTCTGTCCATCCCCAGTTCGCCCCGCTTTCTTCAAGATTGCGACGTCCCAGATCTGGGCTAAGGAGCATCACCTCCGCTCTCTAGATATCCTCTTTTTCCCTCTTAGAGCGGGCCCGACGGTCGTATGCAGACACCAACTCGACAGCGATGACCAGCGGCGGCAGAGGCATGTGGCGGAGTGTGGAAGGACAGAAATTGACACAGGCGGGTGTAATAACAATGTTTTGACATCCAAATCGGTAATCCAGGTTCTGATCACCCAGAGTGGGTACCTCCAGATATCCTGTCTCCCCTTTGTTTTCCTTTCTAGTAAGTTGCATAATTGCATTAGTTAGTTTTAGTACAATGCCTATTTACTTTTCTGCAATATTGTTTGGCTCATTAGCTTTAGTAGAATTCTTATTTTCCCGCTTGAAGTTTTATTTTGGTTCTTAAGCTTTCTAATTTGTAGCTTATATTTTTTTGTTTATGCTATTTGATATTTTAGTGTTAGCTGTGAGCATGTAATTTTTGCCTTATGTGAATTACTCCCATAAAATACAAGAAAAATAAATTTTTCTATTAATTACAATATTGTAGGATTTTGTGAGAATTTGCGCTAATTGTTTGCATTTCTGTGCATGTTTATTTCTATTTAAATCATGAAAAGTACAAAAAAAAAGCATCATGCATCACATTTAGGTTATTCTACAGTTCCAGGATTAATTAATCAGTTATTTGTTTTGTTAAAATTGAAAAGCACAAAATTGGTTCATTTTTACAATTATTGTCTTTAATTTTAGATTGTTGATGTTTCTCTTTTAATTTAGGATCAGATAATGTTTATAAATTTTGCACTTTGATAATTAGTTTAATTTCACAACTCGGACTAATTTGGGGTAATTTATATTTTTTATTAATTTAGGAAGAAGAAAAAGAAAAAGGAAAAAAATTGAAAAGGAAAAGGAATTAATTATAAAACAAAGAGAAGGAAAGTTTGAATTTGTTTTAAAACCCAAAATTGGGCCAATTTGGTGGAAACCCAAACTATTCTGTGGCCCAGGGCAACCAGGTCCAAACCTCATACCCGGTCCAAAGCCTTCAGTCCATGAGACCCTGAAACGACGTAGTATAGGAGGAATACTACGTCATTTTGAGTTCGTTAGTGTTAAATTATTCCTGGTCCTTCATTTTATATGATCTAATGGCCCTAAAGACTTCCCCCATTTTAATTAAAATTGTCCAAACGCTTCATATTAACCTAGGATCTCTGCTCTTCATCTCCCTCACACCCTGTATCTCACCACTGTTCGCCGCCCACCAGAAATCGCCAGCGACAACGGTTGACCTCAAAACCCCTTAAAATCTTAACCATGTAACCTCTGGTGCACCTCCATTCCAAATCCACCCTTGTTTTCTCTCCCAAACCACCCATTCTCTCCAGATCAGAGATCGAAGTTAGCACTGAAAATCCTTTCACCCTTTTTCTTCTGATTTTCGCCTACTCTAGTTTCTTTTTGGTGTTAAAACGTGTGAATCAACCAGTTTCGATGTGAAAAAGCCAATTGGTTGAGGGATCGATCTGTGTATGGTGTCCAAGTTTGGTCAACAGTCTCTGATAGGCCCTTATCTCAATTTCCTCTTCGTTCTTGACTCGTGATGGGGATTGTGACAAAGAGCACAAGCCATGGAAGAAATTCCGGCTAGTGCTCAATGTTACAGTTCACACCATGTGGTTGAGATTCTTCACGCCGGATGCCATCATCTGTGAGCCATCAATCTAGCCGGTACTTTTCTTCTTCTTCATCTCAGTCGGGTTTAGAAATCGCAGGTTTTTCAGTCGTTTAATTAGGTAATAATAATAGGTTAAGAAGCAATAAATTCTCTGTTAGCATTTGTTAATTTTCCTTTTTCCTTTTTACTTCTTTTTTTATTATTATTCTTATTCTGCTTCGTTAAGAAGATCTCATGTTACTAGAATTCAGAAATGAGTTATTTTGGTTTTCTTATTTTTCTTGTGAATTTATTGGTTTAGACTTGAACTTGGGTTTGCTAGTAGCCCAAAAAACTGGTTGAAGTTCATTTGGTGCAGAAGCCCAAAGACATTTGGACGGTTTGATCCAATGTCTATGTTAAAGTAATTACCAGCCTTATAAAGGGTAGTTTAGAAAATTTAATAAGGGGAATCTTACTTAAACCGCTTAGAAAATTTCCAAGAAGGTGGGATTGGGGGTAGATTAACAAACAGATTTTAACTACAGGGTCCAAAATAAAAAAATAAAAATTGGGGAAAGGGTAAATGGTGAAGTATAGAATCAGATTTTGTTGCCCTAGGAGCTGGTTATATAAGGTTCATTTTCTTTCATTTATAAGCAGAGATTAGAGACCTGAAAAGGGAGCAAACGGTTGAAACCATACACATTGATATAAGTCCCAAAATTAGAAAGAAAAAAAGATACAAAAAAATCATCAAGTACAGTTCTATTGTAGCCGGTTTGTTGATATTTCTTGGGTTTTAAAAGCTAGGGTAATTTGTTGTTTACTTCTGGGTTCCAAAACATGAAAAGCTGATTGATGAACTGATGTTGGTTGTTGTTTTAAGATCTGCTGAGATTGTTAGTTCTTTGCTGAATTATTGTGACTATTTTGGTTGTTTCAGGTATGTTTCAAACTTTGAAAGTGCAAAATGAAGTTGGAGATGCAATGTGTTTAAATGAAATTAGGCTTCCCTTCCAGATTTTCTCTTCTTTTGTTTAGCATTACATGTATTAATTAGTTTGATAGTCAAAGTTTCTAGTTGTAATTAATGTCAACATCAACACCCTATTCCCTAGTAAGATTCAGAATTCGAGTGTTAAAAATCTAAATCTGTACAGTATTCTATTTTGGAACTGTGTTAAACTATGGTTGGTAAGGCTGCCATATGAGTCTAGGCAGCTGAATATTTTTGACACGTTTGGCATGAAATCAATGAATATTCATGCTTAAAGGAATGGAATTAGACAGAGTTGAGTACATATTAGTAAATGTATTTTTTTTATGTTTTTTTGAAATCATGTTAGTGTTTGGTTAGAAGTAATGAATTTTGTTATATTTTAAACAACGAGACAAATTGTGTATGAGCTGTTATAATATCAGGTGTCGCATCTTCGTTATAAAATGTGATTTGGCATCAAAAGCTTTGCATCTGTTTAAAACTTGCAAGAATTGTCAGTATTTGTTTTAATCTCAAGATTTCTCATGAAAAAATGTAATTTGCTTCAAGTAATTGCAATGAATCACGCAACTCGGTCTTTGCCGTTGGCCCAGTTATGCCAAATACCCCTTGCTAATTATATGTTCATTCTGGGCTTCTTGTTGAGCCCAACTGTCCCTTATGTTTTGTTAAGGAAGTTTTCAAACGGCATTGGGCCTACTGCCAGCCCAGGGCCCCTTTCAAGTAATCAATCACCTGATTTCATTCAGTGTGAATTCATTAACTAATAGGCTTAGTTGAAAATCAACTTAGAATAAATTTGAGCTCCCTTGGACTTCTTTAATTAAATAGGACTTTTAAATCAAAGTGAGGTGTGCCATATTAAGTAGGACCTATAATGTATGACCCTCAAAAACTAGATCAAAGCATCACTTGAGAAAAATAGATTTGAGGCGTGCCATAAGCAAATTAAATCATCAATGGCCCTCACAAATGTTAATTTAGATATTATAACGAACTTCGTAGTTTGCTTTAAGCGCGTTAATTTTATAATTATCACAGTTATTGTCACACCTCCTTCTTCCGCCCCCGCGGGGGGTACAGGGAGTTTTTCCAATTAAAGGACAATCGAAACGGGATTTATTTGTTTATTTCAGAGTCGCCACTTGGGAGATTTAGGATGTACCAAGTCACCAATTTTAATCCCGAATCGAGGAAAAGAATGACTCCATATTACAGTCTGCGTACCAGAAATCCGGATAAGGAATTCTGTTAACCCGGAAGAAGGTGTTAGGCATTTCCGAGTTCCGTGGTTCTAGCATGGTCGCTCAACTGTTATATTCGGCTTGATTATCTAATTTTATACAAATATGAACTTATGTGCAAATTCTATCTTTTTACCGCTTTCATAATTGTTATTATTATTTTTACAAGAACGTAAACATTGTTTAAAATATGTCTTTGGATTACGTCACATGAAATGCACCCGCAATCCGGAACGCA